TTTATGAAAACAAAGAAGTTTTATGAAGTACTCTGTTGCAGATGCCACTAAAAATCGTTTGTCACTGCATGTTTTTAGTATTGGGGATGCCAACATACAATAAAATATTTACACGATATAAAATAAATATGGCATATAAATATGGTACTGCTTTTCCGATCTTAAGGAAGTTAAATGGGAGTTATTCTTTCTCGCTTACTACGCTTTATTTCATTTTGCTGAGTAAAGCGTTGATTCCACTTTTAATACTTGTTAACACATTTTGTATTGATAAATAAGCTTTTATATAAATAACATTTATTTCAATAAACTTCTATTTCAGTCCGTCAAGAACAGCTCATCATATGGAATTTGTTGTATAATGTTATTCACAACATTTAATATGCTCTTAGTATAAACGGGCAATATGGTCTCCTCAATCTCATTCCAAAACTCGATCCAGTTGTCGTTGATCACGCGATTGAGCAAAAGAGTGAGATCCGTATTCTCCTTAAATAAATTATCTGCAGTCAGTATCCAGCTAAGAAGTAGAAATCGATTAGCTTCTATGCCAGATATAGTTCTTTTTACGCCTTACCGATCCAGATCGATTTTGGTAGTCACTCCGTAGATCTTCAGATATCTCCGATTCTGGCGGTACTCGATGAAGCTCTTGACATTCAGTGTCAAGTGCACATTCTGCAAGTCCGAGTGGGTGCTGCCACTCGAGTTGGTGTACAATATGACGCCACGGCCGCGCAGCTCGTAAGTGCCCTGGCTGACGAGACTTGGAGTCCTCAGCTCGATAATCATTTTATTCATTTCCGGCTGACGATCGAAGCCCGATATGCTAATGATGGTCGCATTTTCCAGACCCTTCAGCCGCATGTTCTTCAGCTTGTAGCTTATCCAGAGTGGCCCAGGTGAGTTGATGAGCGTAATGTCGTCCACTTGAAAATCATCGAGTGGCGGCAGACCCAAGTTGGCATTGCCTTTGCCGTACCTTCGCAAATATTGATTTGTGCTGGCCACAATGCATTTGTCATCTCCAAAGTAGCATTTCTTGATGTCATCGGCTGCGAATAGACGGGTAGAGTATTGGACACTAGTTAAGATTAGGCTCACCTACGTAGACGTAGGGCATAGCTAAAAGCCTTCCACGTGCAGATAAGTATTATTGTTTTTCTCAACATTTCACTGAAACACTTCATTATACTTGATGGAGCAACAGCTCGTTAGGTAATATCGCTTGACATTAGAACTGCAGTTGAAACAAGTCGCAGTTGCATTTATTCCATAAACCTGTTTAGTTTCGCGAGTCGGCTGTAGATAGCATTGAGTCGAGCTACCGATCAACCTTGCTCAGATAACAGGAAATTGATGAGAGTATATATTGGAACAACCTGGTAGTATGCTCTGCCTGGAGTGGAAATAGAGGGCTAATATGCCCCACTCGGCCATCTAAATCGATATCAAACGTGTTTGCTAGTTTATTGATATAAATTGTAATAATATAGAGAATCTCAGAGAACTTATTGTTGTATGAGATTGTCTCAAGTATGTTATTCAGCAGTTGAGTTCCTGAACTGCTCGTATTACATCACCTCGTACTAAGATGTTTCTCTGAATATACTCTCTGAATATTCTCAGCTTCAACCTGAAATCGGCTGATTAATTTTTATATGTGACAGTAGTTAAAAAACGCATGTAAAAGAAAAACAAAATCGCTAAACGGACTACGATATATTCCAAACTTAAAATCTTTCTCTTTGTATATCTATAACTTTCTCAGTTTATCCCTCCCTTTTACTCTTGTCCCCCCTCTCTCTCACAATCTGCCTTACTTCTTGTCATATTCATCTGTCCAATAAACACGTACATTGAATTCCACACGTCGCCTTTCTTTGCGCTTCTCATTCGCTGCTCAGATCAATAAACTGCAGTTGTCTGCTTACAAGTCAATTTGCTTGTGTGTTAATGCCACATTTATAGCAGGCCACATCACATTTCAATGCATTTCACAATCAAACTGCCCAAAAGGGCAATAATCATCGACTTGCACAGCGCATGGCCCTGTTAAATGGACATTTATATATAGGAGTATAGATATACTGCAAGGCAAGAATAACAAGAAGTGGAATACAGAGAATTTTTGCTGTTGCTGCAACATAAACAAATATCAAACGTAAACGTGGCCCGACCGCTGCAGCGGACCTCTCCCGATTCTGATACCTCGAGGCCTGTCAGTCAGCGGCTTTGCTGCATACCGAGGCGTACGAGTATATATATTCCACACACACAGACATACATTCACTTGCAATACTAAGAAGCTTGTGCAAAATGATCGTTGTGCTTTTTGCATATAAATTAAAGTGCAATGAATGCCGACACTGAAAGACATAAAAGACAAAAGACAAAATGCAAAGCCAACTCGAATCGAACTCGAAGTACAACGCAAATTGCTGTCAACCGAAACCATTTGACAGGGGCTAATAGCTAAGGTCAACAATTAAACTCATTTTTCTGGGCTGCACTAAAACTGTCTGTTGGCGTGTTAGCTAGAGCCGGAGCCTGCGCCTCGAGGCCTCTATTGCCTCCCCTCTACCTCACCATCCTTCTCTCTCTCTCTCTCTCTCTCTCTTTCTCTCTCTTTCTATGCACTGCATTTATGTTCATGCTCCTCCCAGCCAGCCGCCCCACCGTCTATGTTGCTTGACTCTGAGGCTGCAAGCAAATACAGGAAAAATCAATCGCTCGCACTGTCAATGCGCCCGCATTTTCCGGCGTTGTACTTCTATACATACAAACACAAATGCATGTATATATGTATATGTAATATATATGTATATATGTATATATATAAATATGTATATATATTTTTTTTCTGGTTTGTTTTTGGTGGCAGACCCAAAATTTTACCTACACACGCGCTGCCTATGTAAATATTTGTCATGACCGCCTGACAATATTTGTGCAGACTCTGATTCCGTTTCGACTAGACTCGAACAACGGCTCGAACAACTATGACAAGAGGATCACAGTTTTGATTTGAAAAATATTGCCAACGACTATATTTCCACCAATACATATCTTGAAGTTATAGATGAATTCAAATAAATTCAATATAACAGACAAGAATTATTGAAAAATTTAGATTTATTTATTAATTTTTATTCTTAGTTATACAACTGTTTTATAGTTTAATGAAAATGAATTGAAATATTACAACAAAAATAAAAATACATCCATTATGAATTTATTCTAAATTCTTGTGATTTTATTTTATTCAACAAATAATAATTTGTATATATTTTTAGATATTTCCTTTATCTATTAACATAATCATGATATATTTTACAAATTCTATCACACTGCTAACTTGATCATTTTAAAAATATATATATTTTTAATAAATTTATAAAGAAATTTATTTAATTTACATATAAAATAATTTATATTTATCTGACGCAATGATGCGAAATTCTATAATAAAAATGCTTAAATTTATTTGTTGTTTATTTTCTTTTATAAAATATATTATTGTATGCCAGAATTTATATGCATTCATGAAAATGCGTAATATATGTAACTCCCCAACATTATATATACTATATACTAACTGTATAAATATTTAATTATATTTATTTTTTTTTTTTTTTTATAATTTAAAGCGTATACAAATTTCGTCTAAATAAGTTTAGAATTTCTTATTAGTTTCTATGTTGTTTCTAGCTCTAGAGAAACATATAGAAATTTGTTTGTTGTTTTTGCGCAGTCGCTTGTTAAAATGAGTGCATGTGACGAGCGTGTGTGCGTGCGCGTGCGTGTATGAGACTGTGTGTGCGTGTGTCGCATGGCATTTCCGCTTTGCAGTGCATCACAAAAGTATTTCGAATTAACAGTAGTAAATCAGACGGCGCTCGCTCTCGCCCCGCCTCCTCCTCCCGACGGACAAACAGTGGGGACAGCGCAGAGATAGCAGAGAGGAGAGCAGCGAATGGAGCACGGCAAATTGTTGGGTAAACAAATATCAAAATGATTCGTGCCACAGTCGCTGCTGCTGGCTTTTGTGCATTTAGTTGCATGTTGCACCAACGGCCGATGCCCCAGCCCCAGCCCACGCCCTGCCCAGCCCCGCCGTCTGTCGCCCCACTGTGCTTTGGCCCCGATGATAAATATGAATTTCTGTACGTCTGCCACGAATAAAGCATTTCGAGCAGCAGCATGTCAGCAATGCACTTCCCCAGCCAAAACTACGACAGACGTCATTCAGGAAGTGACAAGTTGCTCGGGTTGCGCCCAACTTGAACAACGCGCCGTGCAGCGGCAACTGGCAACTGGCAACTGGCAACAGGCAACATGCAACATGCAACAGGTGGACATGTTGGACATGTTTTTCCCAGTTCGCATTTGATAGGAAACACACGGAACTATTGGCCAGGGAGTTGGCGTTAATGTAGTTAAACTAAACATAAATTTGCTTTTGATTGAATTACTGATTCATAAAAATATCGCTCAAAGAAGCAAATTTAAGTAAAAAAGTACAATATATTTATGCCAATACAAAATATATATTTTATTACATTGGGTATTTTTATAGTATTTTAATATTTTGTGTTGCCATAAAGAAATTGCATTTTTTCCTTAAAATTGATTCTATGAGCGAGAATTGCCCTCTGTACCTTCTGCTCCCTTATCACCTATCTCACTTTCGGGCTTTGTCTCACTCTTACATTTTCTGTATATCGTCTGATTTTCCTCTCTCTCTCTCTCTATATATATATATATATATCTCCTCTCTCTCTGTCTCTCTCTCTCTCTCCCTCCGTCTCTCTCGCTCTCTCTCATTAATAAATATCCCTTTCGAGGCTCTCACTGAATCTATTCTATCCATTTTAATCATCGGTTGTCGTACAGTCTCAATTGCATCCTTCCAGTATTTTTCCCTCATCTCAAGAGGTGTAGTCAATTTGTTGAAAATTGTTAATCCATTATACTTTGAATAAATAGTCTTAATAGACTTTTAAATTATTCCAATTTCCTCCCGTGCCAAATTGTCTATAATAAATTGCCAAGTTGTCAAGCAAATCCTTTTGGCCTGAATGTTTTCGACGCTTTTCTTTCCCGGTCAAGCATTAGACGATGATCGGTTCAAGGCCTGTCAGTGCTGGCGTCCCGACGTCCCAAAATGCACAACGGTGAATTTAGAGAAGAAGAGCGATTACTTTGAAGATGATATCGAAGACATCGCCAATAGCCTGATCAAGGTGATGATCCTATGCCGACTGCTTCCCTGGCAGGCGCGTCGCACCAAGGAGCCAATCAAACGCAGCTTCCGCCAATACGAGGAGTTCCGCTACAGAGTGGATCGGGTGCCGCACAAACGCTTCGGCAAGGAGAACTTTCTGCACGATCTGGTCAGCGATGCCGGCATGAATCGCATGGACAGCCAGCTGGCCTACGGCATCACAAAGCGCGCCTTCCGTGCTTACTACCATGGCACTGGGGAGGGCGGCAAGAAGCTGAAGTCCCTGGAGTCCCAGCTACGCCACCGCTCTGAGTGCCTTTGGCTGCATGCGTCGAAGCGTACGGCGGAGATTTTCGCAGTTTACGCGGGCCTCATGTACTGGGAGCAGAAGCAGTATGAGGAGTGCATCGAGTGCATCTACAAGGCGCTCTACGATGAGCTGCAAACGCGCATAATCTACGAGGACCCCGAGGAGCGGGGCTGCACCTGTCTGCCAGCTGCCTCGCAGACCAAGATCGCATATAAGTTCTGGGACACGATCTCGGTCAATACGATCGGAAGCATGAAGAGCAATAAGACGATAGAACTGTTTTTCAACAAGGAGGTCAAGAGCGTCAGCAAATTAAACTCGCCCATCTCTCTGCACATGGAGTACACGATGATCTCCTTGGAGCAAATGATCAGCAAACTAGAGCAGGGGTCCAACAAAGGGTTCACTAGCTCCAAGACGTCTGAAAAATCCGTTCCCAACAGGCGACCTCGGAGGAAGAAGAGGAAGGATACGAAATGCGCTTGCCACAAGCTGCAGTGCCTCCAGGATCGTCGGGCGCCTGTAATAACTGCCGAGAGCAGTCAGGGGCCGTACATTTGCCGCTGGATACCCTACAAAGAGGAGGACGAGGAGCTGCCCCATCACCATGTGCCCTGCCCGGAATTGGTTTGCCCGCCCTGCGAAAGCGAGGAGTCCTGCGACGACGAATGCATCTGTACGTGCCAAATTTGCTCTTGTCCTCCGGCGTATGGTGATGACATGGAGGAGGCGCATGGCGAGAAGCTATCGAAAAGTGGCCTGGAGGATTACGATACGGATTACTGCTACCTGGCGCCGTTCCGCGACGGGCCCAGGGTTGAGGAGGAGCAAGCGTCCTTAGAGGAGGAGGAGGAAGAGGATCCCAACGCGTGCGTGTGCATGTGCGAATACAAGCGACGCGGCTGGCCGCATCTCTTCACCTATCTGGCGCCTTTCAAGGACGTAAAACCCTTGCCGGAGCCAGAGCCGACTGTGGAGCCGGAAAAGCCCAAAATACCGCCTCCGGGTATTTCAATAGACGCCTATCGCTGCTGGAACGATCCCGTTGAACCCAACTCCATGCCAACTTCCCAGCCAAACAGTCCCTACATCACGCTGCTCAGCGCCTCAAAGCAGCCTCCCTTCAACCTTGAGGTGACTGTGAAGACGCAGCACTACCCGAAGGCCACCGGCAAGCCGCCCACGGGTGCGGCCAGATCCTCGCTCACTATCAAGAGGAACACAGTCGCCCTCGAAAACCTAAATGCAGACATGAAGGCCGCGCAAAATGTGAAGCCCCAACAGCAAGCTGGCAAGGCGGCGGGCCCAGCGCGCCAACCAGCCAAGCCCCAGCCCAATTCGGTGCCTCCCAAAGCGTCAGCACCCGCGGCTTCCACAGCTACAGCACCGGCCAATGCTGAAGACGACAAGCTCACGGAGGAGGATATTTTGGCCATGTTTGGCTTGAATAAGTAGCATTGTCCTTTGATTGATTTAGAGATTCGCCTTCGTCCTGTCACGAGTCCTGCATCATTGTTTTGATTTCGCAATTAAAACTTAACTTATTTATTATTTATTTATTTTTTAAATTGATATATTTGTAGTTGATTTATTTAATTATTTTTTTTTTATTTATGTAATTATTTTTTATTTATTTTTTTATTTATATTTATTTATTTCTTTATTTATTTATTTTATATTTATATTTTTTATTTTTTTATTTATCTATGTATTTATTTATAATAGTACAGAGTTGCCTGATAGGCTCTTCTGATTAGAGATTCGTTTAGTTACCTAAGGACAACATTTTACATGGCTAATGGAGAAGACTCTTCGATTCCCTTTCAACTTGCTCAAGTATCATTCTTTGATCACGACTCCTATGGAATTCTTTAACTCAAAAAACAGTTGTTTAAACCTCTTTCTCAAAAAGGCATAACCATTAATATTTCCCCATGCAATTCAAGTTTTATTTACTTTTCTAAGAGCCTTGATTTTAGAATGGGAATGGGAACACTTTGTATTGCTAATTGATGAGTGTTTTCGGCTTTTATGCCCAATGACTGATATTTGTGTAGTAATATTTGTGTAATACTATATTTGCACAGTTCCGGTCAGCGGATAGAACGAAAGTGTATCAACATTTTAGACCAGGAATCCCAAAAGGCCGCATAGCTGTTGTGTTTACTGCTGAATACTTGTCAATCAGAGTGGCATTCGATTAATTGTTGAAACGTAACATAAGAGACCCTTGAATTGAATGGCTGAAATATGCTTTGAAACCGACAAGTTATTTGATATTTTTCATTCTCTCTCTTTCTCTCTCTCTCTCTGTCTGTCTTTCTCTTTTTGATTTTTTTTTTTTTATTCGCTCAGCAATAGTTTTTCACGGCATTTGTTTGAGTGTATTTGTTTGTGTTTACCAAACGAACTGTCAATTGATTGTCAAATTAAAAAGCGAAGCGTGGGGCTGGGCGGGGCGTTGGATAACTTAAGGACGTACATGGATGCGTGTGTGTGTACGTAAGTGTTTAAGGGTCTCTTTTGAAATTGTAAACTATTTCAACTTTTCGCAACTGTCGAGGGGCTGATCGGGAACCACTTCAGCTGCAAAACTATGCGAAATATTATATGCAACACACAATAACAACGGGAAGAACAAGAGCAGCCAGCAAACACGCATTTTTGACACACAATATTTTGTATTGTGTGCGCAAAGGGGCGGACATCCAGGCGCGCCCGAAATGGACATGATTTGAACGGAGGACTGCTTCCGGTCGCACAGTCCAGTGAGTTAGGAAATATTTGCATTGTCAATAGTTTTCCTTGGACGCAAATCTCGTTAAAAACAAATCACGTACTGCGCTGGGCTGGGTAGGGCTGGGCTGGGTTTCCATTTTCGGGTCTTTCACAACTTTTCTGGCTGCCCTCCCACAACGTACGAGTAATTGCAGACAAATCGCAAGAGCTACAATTTTTGGCCAGACCATTTTGTTGGTTGACAAGGGCCGCTCCGAAGTTTTCTGACAGACGCTTTTAAGCAGAAAATTGTTTGCTCATAACTTTTGACTCCGAATCAGGGGCTCTGGGTCCTGACCCTGCCCTTCAAACAAAATATTGCACAAACAATAAACAGAATACTTTCAAATTGAATTTGCAAAGGAAACGACTCACTGATTGAAGATCAAAGCTGTGTAGAAAGGGTACATCAGTCAAAAACTAAGACTAGAATTAACTAATTGTTTAAAATTACCTTTTAATAATATATTAATGATTACCTCTTAATTGATAAACAATAGCTTACTATATAATATAGGACTAGAGTTACTTGAGTTAATCGCATCAATTTGTGAAAATCAGCCTTATCGATAAATCTATCGAAGTGTGCGAGCTGGGCCATTTGTGGCACACATTCGAGCACTTGGCTACTTTTTAAGTGGAGACTTTCGCCAGTGTCGAGTACCTAAACTGATAGTTAGAGCGATCTCGCAGCTGCTAGTTACATGCAAACGCCCGCAACCGCCAGCAACATCAGCTGCAACAGCAGCAGCAGCAGCAACACCCTGGCAATTACGTGCAACACATGAATTACTTACGACTTTCTCGTCGCGCCGAGTAAAAGTTATTTTTCTTTTCCTGCTGGTTTTTGTTGTTTTTTGTTGGGGGGCAGCCAAAACATTTGGAGAGACACGACTTCAAATTAACACGTAAATTGCACCGAGTTAACGCGCTGCCTCAAAACTTTTTTTGGCCACAGTGCAGCTGGAAGCTCGTTAAAGGTTGGCTCCGAGCAGAGCAGCAGCAGAGGCAGCAGCAGCGGCAGCAGCAGCTAGTTGCTTGACTGAGTTAGCTGGCGGGGCCTTGTTACAATTAATTGCATATGCCAGACAACATTTTTGCATACCGGCAACATGTTGCAGTTAACAATAAATTAGCGTTTAAAATGCAATGGGCTCCATGGCCAACAGACACTTGGCACTTGGTGCACCCTCTCTAGCCGGGGCCCTTGCTCTAGTGCCAGCCTTGGCCCTGCACTTGGCCTCGGCTTGTTAGCTCAAAGAAGATCATGCTGCACTCGGCTGGAGGTGATCAATCAACTGGCTGTAATGGCGGTGCGCGCTCGCAACATGATAGTTTACTTGAATTGCGCAATTAATTAGTTTCGTGTTAATGAGCAATGCAATCCGCATCCACATCATCATCATCATCATCATCATTGTTATTCTAGGCATCAGCATCGGCATCTTCATCATCATCATGGTGTGGCTATAACCACAAGCAAAAGACGCTTTGGCATTTGAGCTCGATACTCTCTGTTACGTCCAGGAATTTCTTTAATAGCCTGCTTGGCCTTCGGGCCAACTCAACGCCAGCTACCAACTGCCGCAGCTAGACGTTTTATGACATTGTTTAATATCCCTTTAAAGTTGTATGTGTGCGTAAACTTTAGAATATGCCCAGAATAAATTAAAAGTCGAATGGTTCAATAGGTTAATTAAATATTTTTATGTATTTCATTCTTTGATATTTTTTATTTTTGCTTGAGAATAGAGTTTTTGCATCAACTCTAGAGCTCAATATTTTTGAAAGTAAAATTCCAAATATTAATATTCTTGCCTTTCCTTGTTTGAATATATAGCTAGTATTAAAATATACCGAATATTTTTATTTTTACTTAATTTTTTTCATTTTCATAACAGTTTTGCTAATTTTTGAGTTTAATTTAAAAATAATTTCAATAAAAATCAAGTCAGGAATTCAAATAAAATTAAAGTTGCAAGTAAATTGGTTCGCTAGCCCTTACGCTCAGCTGAAAAGCCCTGATGTAGGCCTTAAGCAATGGATATAATAGATTACTCAGAGGCTAAAATATTGTTCTACTATAAATAAATAATAGCCCGAAGGAAATGACTTTGTATTGATGAAAAAATCATTAGCTCTGCACATACTACACAGAAATATACATTTATTTCTACTTTCCATTCCACTTTGTGTCTGCTTTGGATTTGCAGTTTATAGACTCTGTTCTCCCAATCCGCAAATAGTTAACCTACAAAATAGTTTTTAAGCACTCTCAGCACTCTCAGCTGGCAGCTGCAGAGGGAGCAAACAAACGTACAGAAATATGTATGAAAATACTCAAATGTATCATTTTTATCACTTTTCAGCATTCGGTCTACAAATCTGTTGAATCCGCACTCGAACACTGCAGCTTTCCCCCCGCATCGCCCGCTCGGCTCTGTTGCAGCCATCAATCAAAACTAAAACTATTTGCAAAATCAATAAATACCCATAAACTTGATGTTCAAATGAAACTTTGGCTACATGCATATACATATATGGAGTATCTCAATATAAACTGAACTCATTTTTCTGTTGCTTTTCTCTTCTTTTTTTTTTTTTTTTGGCAAATAAATGCTGACAGCTAAATAGTTTTGAATACAAAAATGTTTGGCATAGTTGGGGCCAAAATGTTTGGAAAACTTTTACGCAAAATCGCGCTGTTAGCCCCCAGCTCCATGCTGGAAAAACCGCAGCATGCACATTTGCATCGGCTCCGACTCCGGCTCCGGCTATAGCGCTAGCTCTAACTCTGGCTACGGCTTTCGGTTGTAGCCGTATCTGTATCCAAAGCTTGAAATGCAGCTGCAACTTGTTTGCGGTTGTCGTATCTGTTGGCTGCAAGATAGTTTTTGCGTAGTTTGCAGCGATTGCAGCGGTAAATAGTTGTAAGCACTTGGCCAAAATGTAACTGCCTCCTGCCTGCTGCCAGCTGCTCGCTGCTCGCTCCTCGGTGCTCGCAGCGCGCTGTGGCCACACACATGACAAATCTCTTGCTACTTTATGGCAGCCAACACATGTTGCCATTCAAAATATTTAACCGCAGCAAAGCTCCGCGGCATTTGGAGGGAAATTTTGGCCACTGTTGCCGCCGCGGCGCGGTCTGTTCAGGGGACTGCTGCGGGGGTGTTGCGCCAGCGTTGATTAATGGCAGCGTTCAATGCAAGTGCATGAAAAGTTTTCAAATGCTGCTGTCGGGGCGTTCGCCTCATGTATCCATCAGATACACAGTTTGTCAACGACGCTTTCAACTGACATAATCATCAATTAATGCTCTATTAATAGAGGCTTTCCCTGCGCCGCCATGCCCCCAACTGTCTTCTGTCCTCAGCTCGGTGTCTACGTTTTGTAGGCGCGACAACACTTAAGGCCCCAACATGTGTTTATGTCAATTTGATTGAAGAGCCAACCGAACAAAGCAGAAAAGCCTAACGAGCACAGCAAGATCGTATTGTCGAGTCCAGGGTCGGCACGACTTAAAGACTACTCTACGTTTACTACATATTATTTATTATCATTCAATATGAACTCATTTATATTACTAGCAGGAATGATGCTCAATGAGATGGACTTGATCTGTAATTTGAAAATATGCTAAAACACAAAATAAATGAATAAAAAGTGAAAAAAAAAAAAAAAAAAAAAAAAAAAATTTTTTAAAACACAAAATTTTTTTTTTTGAAAAAAATTA